GTCTTCTCCATCAGACAGGGAGGGCTCAGCAAGGCCCAGGCTCTCCCAACAGTGTCCCAGCAGCGCCCGGGACAGTGAGGAGCTGGGGGCCGCACAGGAAGAATGTGTTTGGCCTGACCTGGTGGGGCCAGAGGGCAGCAGCCCGTGGACAATGGACTGTCTCAGGCTTCTAAGAAGGAAAGCAAAGTCTGAGTCAGTCCTGGTGACTTGGAAGCAGTTGCAGGACTGACCAGGGAGCCATTCTCCCAGGGGCCTGGGAACTGGACAGGAGGGAGGAGGGCAGGAAGGGGCCGGGATAGCTGCTAGGCCTTCCCTGTCCTCAGAGGTTCCACCGTCCCCTTCAAATCCATTCAACTGCATCTCCCCTTAGTCTCAGGCTCAAAGCTCTGTGGCCCAGCCTTGTCTGTCACCAGCTGATGGCCTGTCCCAGGGCCACCCAGGCACCCTGGCCTGCCATGCTATCATGTGGGGATGAGGAGGGGTGAGCTCCTGTTAGGGCCAGGCACTACTCTGACCATAAGCCAAACACTGCTGCCAAGTCAATGCCAACTCATAGTGACCCTACGGGGCAAGGTAGAACTGCCCCTATAAGTTTCTCAGCCTGTAACTCTGTACAGGAGTAGAAAGCCCTGTCTTTCTTCCATGGATCTGCTGCTGGTTTCAAACGGCTGACCTTGCAGTTAACAGCCTGTCCTGTAACCACTATGCCACCAGGGCATGGGACCATGTGCCTTCATTAGTCCATCTGCACCACTCTGGAGGCCAGCTTCATGTCACACACACACACACACACACACACACACACACACGTGTGCACACGCGCACACGCAAGTGCTGGCTCAGAGAGGTTGAGTGCCTGGCTCAGGGCCACGCACAGCCAGTCAGTGGCAGAGCCACGTAGGCCTGGGTTTCTCTTTGGGGCTCCACACCTCTCCCTGCTCTGAGAAAGCCAAGTCTTGAGCACCTCTGTGTATCCCCAGAGTCCGTGGTGGGAGCAGCAGCCGTTTGAGCAGTGAACTCTGGTCCCGGTACATGTGTGTAGGGGTGGGGTGGGGGTGTTAGTCTAGGGCTCTCCAGACACAGACGCTCTGAGGAGGGGCCCCCAAACCTCCTCCTCCTCCTGTGGAGCACACTATCATCAGAGTTCTCATCCAGCTGTAGGGACTGCCAGGGTCTGTGGAATGAATGAATTGAACGAATGAAGGAGCGTGTGCACCTTAGCCTAGAACCTTCTGAGAAACTCACCCCAGGCTGCGTCCGGTTTGGGGGGCTGGCAGATCCGGGTACTGGACCCCACTTGGCCACTTCCAACCCATGGGGCCTCCAGCAGGTGCCTCATTTCCCATCAGTCATCACCAGGGGCCATGTTTCAGAGTCCCAAAACCATGTAAATAAAAGCCTGGCCCAGAGCAATGGAAGGGTGGCTGAAGAGGGAGGCTGGGAGGGAGACCTGGGTGCCTGAGGTCCTACACAAAGGCAAGGCCTCTCAGGACGGAGCAGGTGGGCGGGCACCTCAGAGCAGGTCTGCCCAGCTGGCCAGTGTTGAGAACAGAATAGTTGGGCTCTGTGGGCCACTCACCGTGGACAGAACAGTGGGGCCCGTCCCAGCCAGGTGGGAGAGCCATCCCAAGTCAAGACGGCCCAGACAGACAGGCTGCTCTCATCTGCACCCTGAGGCTAACCAGCCATCTCCTTACCCAGCTGTCTTCCACAGCCGCCCCTCCTGGGCTGATTCCCAGTCGGGGAGCTTATTTGGCCGTGAGATAGGAAGCAGGATGTGCCTCCCCCCACACGTGGCCTCAGTTTCCCTGATGTTCAGAGGGGTGACTGGAATGCTTGATCAGCTGGGCAATGCTAGACCCCGGGGGCGAAAGGACTAGAATGTGGACAGCAGGGGGTGGGGGTGGGGGGTGTTGTCTCCTCCTGGTTTTCCCCAAGCCAGGTCTAGCCTCCTCTGCTTGCCCCCTGCAGTGTTGCCTAAGCCCAGATCGAACACTGGCACCAAGCCTGCAGCTCCCCCACCCCACATACACACCCCGAATGGGAGAAAGTAGGATGCTGACAACCCTATCAGGAAATAGTCTTTATTACAAAAAAATCTGCATGTAAACAAATAGCCACCACCCCAAAAACCTCCCTCCCGGATGCACACGGCACAGATGAGGGCAAGGGCGGAAGTCACAGTCCATCCCCACGCAGAGACCTGTGGGCAAGCTGTTGGGCTCAGGCTTCTGAGCGCAGCCAGCACACAATCCTCTGGCGGGGCCACAAGCCCAGGCAGCACCGTCTGTCCCTGGCCGTGCGGGTCCGAGGCGTCCAATAGGCAGTTCCAAGGCGCCCAGAGACTGAGCCGGCCCATGGGTCAGCCCCCTGCTGTGGGGCTAGAGGACAGAGAGGTCGTGGCAGGACTTGGACTTGGCACGGAATGCCATCTTGCGGCTGTTGCGGGCCACGATGCGGCCCAGGAAGCGCTTTGCCTTCTTGCCCAGGCTCTCACGCCGCCGAGTGCCCGCCTGCCGCCGTGCATTGGCCTCTTTGCTGTCCCTCCGAAGGCGTATCTGGCGCACGACACCCTCAAACAGCGCCTGCACGTTGTGGTGGAGTGCGGCTGATGTCTCAATAAACTTGCAGTCGAAGACCACCGCACAGGCCCGGCCCTCTGGGTGGGGAGAGGGGAGAGGGCAAACAAAGGCAGTGAATGCAGAGTGGGTGGGTGAGGAGTCACCTCGTGGCTGGGGTCCTCCTCAGAAGCACAGAGACCCCAGTTCCTGGACTGATGGTTCCCCGGCAGCACTGTGGGTCATTAGCAGCAAGTAGTGGGCCTGCTTTGAGGGAGTCCACCAAGGGGTGGCCCCACAGGGAGGCTCGTGCGTTGGTGGCACACTGGCTGAGCCGTTGGGTGCTAACCAAAAGGGTTGTCAGTTCAAGCCCACCCAGCTGCTCCTTGGTGATCTGCTTCTATAAAGATCCCACGGACTCAAGGGAATGGGGAGGCAGAAGGGCTGCTGAACCCAAAAGGAGAGGGTCTTCCCCAAGGAGAAGCGCACTCTGAGACTGGCCCAGGCCTGCCTTGGGGAGTCCTGCCATGGAGCACCTGAGCTTTCTTCTTGGGCATTGATAGCCACCTGAGCCAAGACAACTGGACTGTGGATGAGCCACGTCCATCTTCCCTCCCTCCTTCCCCAAGGGGCCTGCTGCCCGCCTGCTCACCATCCACGGAGACCTCTCGAGAGCGCACTAGGTCACTCTTGTTGCCCACGAGGATGATGGGCACATCGTCGGTCTGCCTTGCCCGCCGCAGCTGGACCCGCAGCTCTGAGGCCTTCTCGAAGCTGCCCTTGTCGGTCACGGAGTACACGATGACATATGCGTCCCCCATGGCCATGCAGTGGCCGGGCAGCCAGTGGCCTCCATCCTGGGGAAGTGATGCCCAGTCCTGTCCAGCAGCCCACGCCTCCCAGCCACGAACCCATCACTCCCAACAGAGCCCCAGCCCCCAGCCCACCTTCCAACCCACCCCACCCCTGCCACTGCCAGAGTCTCAGCCTGCATCCTACCTGATCCCAAATATCGTAAACCATGAGGGAGGCCTCTTCTCCATCCACCGTGATGCAGCGGTCATATGTGTGCCCTAAGCAGAAAGCCAGGAGCCAGGTTACCTGGGGGCCCCCAGTCCCTCCTTCTCAGCGCTTTCCTACCCTTGCCTCCTGACCCTGGGCATCCCAGGGGCTGGACAGACAGAAGTGAGACTGACAGGCCTGGGAAAGGTGGTGGCGGGTGGGGTGGGGGTGGGGGGCCAAAGGAGGTGATGTGACCTGTGCTTCCCTGAGACTCCCCTACCATGTCCTGGGCTCCGGAGGGCCCCCCCAACCCCCAATCTGGGCCCAGAGTGGCTCTGACCACAGTGGCCTAAGTTACATTGAGACCGTCACCTCCTTCTGGGAGCCATCGGTGACCAGGGCTCTTGGCATAGGAGTGTCCTCCACTAATTCCTGCAGGCCCAGCTGGGGGCATGTCTCACAGGATGGGCATATCCCAGAGAGGTCGTATGGGAGGGAACACTGAACCTTTTACTCTGGAACTGCCTCCCCCCAAGGATGAGAAGATGCTGCCCCTCTCTGTGCCCATCTGAGAAATGGGAGCGGCATGGTTCTAAAGCGTCTTCGCCAGGTAGTCCAGATCCCCAGCGCCACGGCTCCCCTGACCTTGCCCGGCCCTTTACCTGCGGCCTCGGCGTCAGGTCCCTCCTCCACGCCACCGAAGATGCGGGCCAGGGCGCTCTTGCCCACGCCGGGCGCGCCCAGCAGGAGGACCTTGTACACGCTGTCGTCGGAGTCGCTGCCGCCTGAGCTGAGCGAGTCGGAGGAGCCCTCCGGCCAGTCCAGC